ACCCCCTACCCTAACCCGTACCCCCCGTCCCCTCCCGACCTCCTAAAAATAAAACCCTACCCCACCAAAAAAAAAGCGCCCTCCCTCCGCACACCCAACCGCCACGCCCACTGTCACCCCGAGCCCGCCCGCCGCCAGCCACTCCACCTCCCGCTCCCCCTCCCCCTCCGTCCCTTTCCCATGTCGACCACATCCACCGCCGACCCATGGGGCAGTGACTGGGCGTCAACGCAGTCCTCGTCCGGGCTTCACCATGCGACAATGACGACGACGACGGGCACGACGGCGAGGACAGGCAGCAGGTCATCGTGGACGTCATCGTGGTCGTCCAGCCATGTGTTCGACTTTGCGCTGCCGTGGGATACCTCGCCATTGGCTTGCCTCTGGGCGCATGCGTCCAAGCTGCGACTTGCAGCTGTGCTCTCGGGAGTGGCCTTTGTTCTTGGTGCTGGTCTCTTTACCCATTATGAGGATCTGTCGTTTATCGATGCTTTGTATCTGACCACGGCCGTCATGACCACCATTGGCTACGGGGACATCTCCCCGGCTACCGATGCGGGCAAGGCTACCGTCGTTGTCTTCTCTGTCACAGGCGTCGTGGTTCTTGGTCTGCTCATTGATGAGATGGCAGAGTCGGCTTTGGCCAGAGTCAAGTTCGTCGTTGATCGCATGTCACTCCCCAAGGGCACCATCGATCCCTACGTCCGTGTCTCGGCTGCCGACCGGGCCGCCATCCGTGTCTCGTGCTGGCGCAAGGCCTACGAGGCTGCAAAGTGGGCCTGCTGTCCGAACGTCCTCGCCTCGCCTGTCTGGCAGACGCCGGTTGTCCGCGGCTCGCAGCGCCCGATGTGGGACGCGGTCTTTGTCATCCCGCGGGCTTTTACCGGCGGCGTCCGCGAGGGCGTCACCCTCGAGCTCTGGGACTGGGACCGCGTCAACGCTGACGATCTAGTGGGCACGGTGTACATTCCGTTTCACGGCCGCGCCCATAACCTGGCGCTCCCGGCCGACGTCTCGTCGTCAACCTCGTCGTCGTCGTCGGTCTCGGAGACGCAGCCGTCGGAGTGGATCGATGTCTCGTGCGACCTTGAGCTCACGCCCGAGGTTGCGGCCTCTCCTGCAGTTGTGGAGCAGCTGGCCCTCCTCACGCCGCGAGTGCTCATTTCGAAGCGACTGACGTCGACGCACATGTTCCTCCGCGTCGTCGGTGCCGACGATCTGCCGGTCACCGACTCATTTGCCGGGCGCGACGCGCTGTACAACGCGTTTGACGCAGTCAAGGAGATCTCTGTCGCCTTTCTGGTCTTCCTCGCCGTGGTTCTCGGCTTTGGTGCCATTTTTTACGGCCTCGAGGAGTGGTCGTTCTTCGAGTCGGTCTACTGGGCCTTTGTCACGGTCTTCACCATCGGGCTCGGCGACTTTGCGCCGACGACCCAGACCTCGCGGGGAGTCTTCCTTGTCTTTGCGGTCGGCGTCCTTGCTGTCCGCGGCTACGCCATTGCGGTTGCCACTGCGATTTACAACTCGCGCTACGCCGCGCATGAGCTCTTTGATGACTCGCCAGACGGACAGAATGCGCTCGCGGTGGCGCGGGCGACCGGCCAGCCGGCCTTTCGCCCGAGCAAAGCACCGCAGCTCCAGTGGTGCAACAACCGGATCGGCGGGTTCATGCGGTACTTTTTCGACGCGCCGACGCTCAGCGAGATTCGCGACCTGCTATTCATCCTCGTCGCCCTCATCATCCTTGCCCTCCTTTCCTCGCTCGTCACTTACGCCGAGGACTGGTCGTGGTTCGAGTCGGTCTACTTTTGCGTCACTCTTTTTGGCGTCGGCTACGGCGATCTGACGCCCAAGACCACTGCCGGTCGGGTTTTTGTCATCATCTACGGGTTTTGCGCCGCCATCCTCCTCTCCATTGCCGTCGCCATCGTCACCAAGCGCCGCCTCTCGCTGGACATGGAGCAGCTGGCGAGGATGACCTCGTCGAGCTTGTCTGCGTCTGGACCGGACTCGGACACCTCGACGTCAACACTGGCTTTGACTCGCTACTCAATCGAGTATGATGCGAGCGAAAGCGACTCTCACGACGACGAGAGCGATGAGAGCGACGACACGTACGACGACGACGATGACGAGGAGGAGGAGGAGGAGGAGGAGAGCGAATACCGGTGCCAGTGCACGTCGGCGACCTGGCACGAGTTCTCGCACTGGTCGGGCTCTGCCTACCTTGTTGTGGCCTTGATCTACCTGGTCTCGAACCTGGTTGCCGCTGGAGTCTTCTACGGCCTCGAGTCGCACATTACGCCTTACGGCAACGCGGTGTACTTTGCGGTTGTCACGTCGTCGACGGTCGGCTTTGGCGACCTCTCGCCGCGGACGACGGGCGGGCGGCTGTTCTTCATCGTCTTTGCCTTTTTCTCGCTTGGCCTCTACGCCTACCTGCTCACGCTCTTTGAGCGGGCGTCGTCCGAGCTTCTCGAGGCCAAGAGCTCGCGGGTGGGTCTTTCCGAGGTGGCGGCCAAGCGGCGGCGGCTCGATCCGGCCGTTGTGGCCGCCACCCGGCGGAAGAACCTCAATCGCGAGAAGGTGCTTGCGCTGGGTGAGGTCCTCGCCGCCACCCGCGGCGCGCTTCCGCTTCCGACCGACTGGGTCTCGTTTGACTCGCGGCCGTCGTCGTCGTCGCCGTCGTCGTCATCGTACGACGCGTAACTGGCTTCTTCTCACTCGATGGTCATGGGAGCGGGAGTGGGAGCGAGAGAGTCGTCGGCGTCAAGGGCGACGGCAACGGTGGTATTGCGGACCTGCGGAGCGACGTCGGCCTGCGCATGCAGCCGCACAATCTGGCCGTCGGCGCCGAGCGGCTCGTAGATAAACATGTTGTTGACCGGGGCGTCGCGGTGGGTCACCACCTTGAGTACGTCCTGAGCGAGGAAGCCGCCGACCAGGGCCGAGACCGGGGCAAACGAGGCGCCGAGCTTGGCGGCGGCAGCAGCCCGCTCGAGCGTGGCATCGGTCACTGAGGGGCGCGCAAATGGGCCGGCAGCGGCCCAGAGCTGGCGAGCGTGATCGGGCTCTGCGCCGGATGCTGCGGCGCGGAGGAGAGCGACGATGGCAAAGGCGAGCTCGGGCGCGCGGCGGAGCGCTGGCGACGAGAGCGGGTAGTCGTGGATGGCGGCGGAGATGCGGACGTACGAGGCGATGCGCGAGGCGTCGGCCTCATCGGCGACGTTGCGGGCGGCCTTGGTGTCAAGGTAGTGAAAGGCCTCACCCGGATCGGCGAGGAAGAAGCCGGCCATGCCCATGCCGCCCGAGACAAAGACGGCCAGGCCAGCGTCGTGCAGCGCGTCGGCCAGAGCCAGGGCGTCTTTGGCGGGAGAGGCGGATTCTCGCTCAGCAGGCCACCGATGAGCACAACCGAGGTGCCGGCCTTGGCCAGGGCGTCTGCGGTAAGCTCGGCCTGGTCAAGGACGACGACGTCGACCCGCGGATTGAGCTCAGCCAGAGCCGGAGCCACAGCGGCGTCCATCCTGGAGCCGACGATGGACTCTGCATCAGCACCGTTGAGGAGAACATGCGGCACGAGATGGGCCTCTTCCACGCAGCAGCCATCGTACACCGCCAGTGCGCCCACGCCGGCCAGGACCAGGTTCTTGGCCACCTCGCCGTGCAGGCCGTCGCAGCCGACCATGGCCACCCGGGCCGACCCGAGCGCCTGCTGTGCGGCCACGCCTGTAATGTGTGTATATGTGTGTGTATGTGTGTATGTGTGTGTGTATGTGTGTGTGTATGTGTGTATGTGTGTATGTGTGTGTGTGTGTGTGTGGTGAGTCTATGGTGGCTGTGCTGTCCAAGGTGTCCCTGGCTGTGGCTGTGGTGGCCCCCCCA